AGCCTTTTACACATACATTTCTTGTGTGTGATAACTGGTTCAAGTAAATCCTTGCGGATTGCCTTTGGCGTTTCCCTTGTCTACTCTTATTTCTACCAGAGACGCTTTGTAGTTCAAGCCAGGTCCTTGCGGATCGCTGCTTGTCACCCTTACATCAAAAATTGCAAATTAATATAAATAACCAGCTTAGCACTTAACATCCCATCCTCTTTCCTTTTTCTCTTACTATCTTGGTCCTTACGTGTGCGATCTGATTCACCGATATCCGACATGGCACCGAAGGACCCTGCTGCAGAAACTGTCACCTTAGACTGCTGTGGGAAAGACGTCACCGGAAGATGGCCTTAAGCCTGCGGTCCAGGATGTTCGTCAGAGCACGTATCAAGCCGCACCATGATGTTGAGGACGCCCTTAGATTCAGTGAAGGACTAGGAACTCGCCAACGTGGTACCAGTCACCCAAGGATGCTGTAGAATGGCACCACCTGCCTGGACGGTCGCAGATCCAGACAAACTCCAGGAACTCGTCAGCACAATTATCAGCCGCCCTGAGATGCCAAAGAAGACGCCTCCTTCTCGGAGGCCCCTAAATCCAATCGAAAGTTAAAAGGACGTGTGGACGAGCACACAGCCGAGAAGGACCTGGTCGAGATCTGTGAGGACGTGTGGACGAGTACAAGGAAATCTAGATGAATCCGAAGTCAAGGAAGGCTTGTGTGAGACCTTGGAGGATGTGTGAACGTCGAGGACGGACAGATTCGCCAAGGACCAGGAAGAAGAGGACAAGGAAAATGCAGGTGAGAACGAGATGACTAGCCAAAGTTGGGCCACTCCTTGAGGCCAATCTACTCACACCAAGGCGAAGCGTGAGTAGGTAGCCGAGCAGTATGGTAGTATGCGCTGTGGGGGCTCCATATGTTTAACGCTTGGCTCTATATAAGTTCAGAACCATTGCCTCAGTCAGGGTCTAGATGACGATTACATCTGACCTCGTTTGACTCTTTAGTTTGCTCCCAGAAGTCACCAAGACAAGGTCTTGGCTGTTCCCATTACTGTGCTGTACTATTCTATGGAATAAAGAGCCAAGCCGTGTAAATCACTATCACTGCCCAACCATTCACAAAGCCATTATATCAGGCATCTAAAGCCTCACAGTGTGTGTGTGTGTGTGTGTGTGTGTGTGAGAGAGAGAGAGAGAGAGAGAGAGAGAGAGTGAGAGTGAGAGAGAGAGAGAGAGAGAGAGAGAGTGAGAGTGAGAGAGAGAGAGAGAGAGAGAGAGAGAGAGAGAGAGTGAGAGTGAGAGTGAGAGTGAGAGAGAGTGAGAGAGAGAGAGTGAGAGAGAGAGAGTGAGAGTGAGAGTGAGAGAGAGGGTGAGAGAGAGAGAGAGAGAGTGAGTGAGTGAGTGAGTGAGTGAGTGAGTGAGAGTGAGAGAGAGAGAGAGAGAGAGAGAGAGTGAGTGAGTGAGAGTGAGTGAGTTTCAGAGTGTGAGTGGAGTGAGAGTGAGTAAAAGAAAGTTAGAGTGGGAGTGAAGAAAAGAGGACAAGCTCCAAAGTTTACTACAGGCTGTAAATAATAGCAATGTGTTTATGAAGATTTGATCCGGCCATACAAAATACTAATATAATATATATATAGATTTATATATATATATATATATATATATATATATATATATATATATATATATATATATATATATATATATATAAAAAAGTAAAATAAAAAACAAGCCTGCATCAACATCTAAATTCAAGAGATATTTATTGCATGTCGCTTTTTGTGACATACCAAAATCATAAGACTAGCTTATTATATTTCTGGTTCATACTAGAATTCCAAGACAATAGGACCTTTTCCAGTATGTAATATTGCCATTTCAAGGTATAAATATAATTTTTTTTTTTTTTTTTTTTGGTTTATTTAGAAAACAAAAATGTTACAGATTCATCAAAATGGGTGGGTATGAATGAATGGGGAATAACGAGAATTACGGGAAAACTCAGGATACAATTTTGAGGAAGTCGGATTTACTTCTTTCCACTCTTCTTGATGCCACCACCACCTGAAAAAATGAATGAATATATAAGAGTCATATAAAGGGCAATCTTGTGTATGTAACTATAAATCTATTACTTTGTTTTTTACAAATAGTAACATTTATATGAACTGACCAGTATCAAGTAATGATCAGGTAACGTGCAATATATCTTTCTTTTTTGCACATGCTTTGTGAAATGTACAAATTCGTATTGATTTGAATAGATAGTAAAAGTCAACCAAAATCAAAACTTTAAGAATGCCAGTATTCATCATTACTTTTTGCAGGTTCTCTCTTGCATGCATGAATCTTCAAGCATCTGATTTTTGAAAAAATCCAAAAGTTAAGTACAAGGAACAACTAATGAATCTACATTAACTTATTTTGTGTGAGCTTCAAAACCAATTATCAATTTTTAAAGTTCAAGTGAAAATTCTCCAGTAACTAACCTAGTGGGCCACCCTTTGCAGCTCTCTGTTGCATTTCCTTTATCTTCCTCTCCTCTTCCTTCTTCTTTTGCATGAATGCCTTGTCATCCTAAAAAGAGAAATTAGAAAAATATCTTACTAAACAATTTCCACTGAGTCCATTTGTGACTAGTGATGCAGGAGCTTTAAGAACCTTAACATGAATGTATGCATTGCAAGAATGCTTCTGGACTAGTCTTTAACTTGAGTTAATCTTTATGATATGGACACAACATTAGGGAAAACTGAAGATGATATTCATTTAGAGGACAAAGATGCAGTCAAAAATGCATATCCACTATAATTCAAGTTGCATTTTAGGAATATACAGAACAAAGTGTGCTAAATGAGAATTTCTTTGCTTTAACTATATTAGTTAAGAAAATAAATGAACCTGATAATGAGCACCAAACCAGTCCACACAGCCTATATCATAAAACAACTTGTAATAAAGACTAAAGTTAAAAATATTTTCCTTGTGGAGCTTGCTACTAATACATAACAAAGTTTGCATATTGTATTGTCAAACAATTACAATAAAGGTGTAGGTTATCACTGTATTTCTAATTTTAGACAGTGTTAGAAAGAAAGAGCAAGAGCAATAAATAGAAAGAAAGTGAGAGCAAAGAGAAAGAGAAAAGAAAGTGAGAGCAAAGAGAAAGAGAAAAGAAAGTGAGAGCAAAGAGAAAGAGAAAAGAAAGTGAGAGCAAAGAGAAAGAGAAAAGAAAGTGAGAGCAAAGAGAAAGAGAAAAGAAAGTGAGAGCAAAGAGAAAGAGAAAAGAAAGTGAGAGCAAAGAGAAAGAGAAAAGAAAGTGAGAGCAAAGAGAAAGAGAAAAGAAAGTGAGAGCAAAGAGAAAGAGAAAAGAAAGTGAGAGCAAAGAGAAAGAGAAAAGAAAGTGAGAGCAAAGAGAAAGAGAAAAGAAAGTGAGAGCAGAGCAAAGAGAAAGAGAAAGAAAGTGAGAGCAAAGAGAAAGAGAAAAGAAAGTGAGAGCAAAGAGAAAGAGAAAAGAAAGTGAGAGGCAAAGAGAAAGAGAAAAGAAAGTGAAGAGCAAAGAGAAGAGAAAAGAAAGTGAGAGCAAAGAGAAAGAGAAAGAAGTGAGAGCAAAGAGAGAAAGAGAAAAAGAGAGAGCAAAGAGAAAGAGAAAAAGAGAGAGCAAAGAGAAAGAGAAAAAGAGAGAGCAAAGAGAAAGAGAAAAAAGAGAGAGCAAAGAGAAAGAGAAAAGAAGTGAGAGCAAAGAGAAAGAGAAAAGAAAGTGAGAGCAAAGAGAAATAGAAAAGAAAGAGAGAGCGAAGAGAAAGAGAAAGGAAAAAAAGAGAGTAAAGAGAAAGAGAAAAGAAAGAGAGAGCAAAGAGAAAGAGAAAAGAAAGAGAGAGCAAAGAGAAAGAGAAAAGAAAGAGAGAGCAAAGAGAAAGAGAAAAGAAAGAGAGAGCAAAGAGAAAGAGAAAAGAAAGAGAGAGCAAAGAGAAAGAGTGACAGAGAGAAAAGAAAGAAAAGAAAGAGACGGAAAGAGAAAACCAATTCCAAAGTGCTCAAATACACTGTTCTTAATCTCAACACAATGCTTAGTCACACAATTTTATATTTCTAAAACCTATGCAAATGGTGTTTATTGATTTCATAGAAATTAGCTGGCTTCAACACTCGTGACTTTTTCCCTCAAACGACATTTAGCAAATCAGTCAATTCCAGTGTACAAGGCGAGCTGGTAGTATCTTCTTTCCTGAGACTAGACGGAGTTTATGGTTTATGGTTGGGGAATAAACCTAGCAACATATGCACAACGAAACACTAGAGGAGAAAGAAAAAAAAGAAAAGAAAAAAGAAAGAAAAACTAAACTGGGTTGATGAGACTGACTCCTTTATTCATTCAATTCACTAAATTACTTTCATTCACAATTTGTAACATTTATATCATATCTGCCTATCAATCACATAGGCTCTCTACTTTGTTATATATACACCCAAAATTTAACAAGTCATTCTCTCGTTTTGGTGTTAAATTGCAAAACAGCCCAAAAACTACTGGAAAAATAAAAGAAAAAGCACGAAAAAAAAAAAAAAAAAAAAAAAAAAAAAAAATCTGAGTACAGACATTTTAAGCCATATCCAACTAGGGGAAAAGAAAAAAAAAAAAAGGAGGGGGGGGGGAAAATGCTGTGCTCATTTATATTTTTGTGATATGTCTCTGCACAAAGATGGATCTGCTAGTGATTAGCCACAAAGGAGTCAATTAGTGGATTTTGACCTTACTCGATTTCACCCTTCCTTGAATTGGCAGGAAAAACGTATTTTTATGGTGTTATTTTTATTAAAAACATAATAATTACTATAATGTTATAAACTTTTGTGACAGCAAAATAAGACAATGTAAAATATTTTCGTAAATCTATGAAAAGGGTGAAGGGCCGAGACAGGCAGTACTCTTAACTGGCTCACTGGTGACTTAGTACAAGTGTAGCCATCTGTGTGTAAAAACAATTAAACAAGTAAACTCGCAGTGGGCATGGCATGTACATACATGCCATGCCCATCACAAAAGGGTTAAGTATCCACTGCTAGATGGTAATTATGGAGTAACATGTTTTTTATTACAGACATAAAATACTAAGAATAAAATTTATAGAAGGGATGGCTTGAATTGACTGATTTTTGCAGTTTTGTCACCCTCTATTTGTGAACTGGATAGTGTTTTCATTTGGGGGTGTTTTTCTTATCAATTACCAGGCATGAAAGGGTATTGAGAAAGTGACTGCACCCTTTTGAGACAAACTCCCTATTACTCCAGCCATCAACTTTGGGGGCACTCCTGGGAATCCACAAGTATCGCCATAACAACCATAGTCCTTCCAAACACGGGCAGCTTTCCCCCCCCAAACCCCCACCTGTTCTCTGTATTTCCTAGTTAGAATCTAGAACTCCATCTGATCACCATGGATTTATCCTCCTTGGGACATTTAAAAGGACCTATCTTCTTCATTTATGGCATTTTTTTGTTTTGTTTTGTTTTGTTTTGTTTCACACAGCCATCCAACTTTGCAATTATTATTCCATCTTTGAATTATCAACAGTGTAACATACATTAATCTTTACTTATTTTTCCATTACAAATGATGTAAATGAAATTATTGGCAATGTTTACAAAGTGACCACACATTTATGAGATAAGATCCTTATTACTCCAGACATTCCTGGGGAATTCCACAAACATTACCATATGAACCAAAAACCTTCCTAACCTGGGATCTTTGCCCCCATCCAATCATTATTTCCCTATCAGGGCTTTACCACAAGACCTACTCCCAATCACCTTAGATTCAGTGATTTTGCTTTCAGCCTGGAAGTTTTTGCCTACACACATTATTTCATGAATTAGCAAGTGTAGTTTTCTTTTTGATTATACAATTACCTATTATATGCCACTACCTTTTCCTGTAAATGTATCCCAAAATATAACATGTTGCACAACTTCCCTATTTTCAACTTGCAAAAGTAGTTCCCTAGATGAAAAGAAATGGTCATTCTGTCTATTGTGATAAAATTTTATCTTGTACTAAATGGCGGTGGAAAACAAATTATAACAATTATTCTTTGCTTTTGCAGATTATTTCACGCACCACCTAGTAGTTTTTTTCCCTCTTTGTGACTGTGTTCTTAGAATTTCCCTAACTATGTAAATGAATTCTGAGGAACTGATAAAAGATACATAAAAAAGGACTTGGGAGAATACCAAGAAGAGATATAGAATAGGGGAAGGTATAAATATAAAAAAAAAAAAGTTGAGAACAACATACAGGGACTAGAACAAGAAGACCAGCAAAATAATACAAACTCAGATCTCAAAAAAACAATCACTGACAAAGCCACCAGGATCTCCATACCATAACGGATACATAAAGCAAGTCATGATACTACAATGTTCAATATATTCAAGGTTGGATGGTGTGCAGACCATCATTACCTCAACCACAAAAAAATTGTAGTCAACCCAGTGCACAAACTGCAAGGTTTTTATTTTGTTTCTTTGGAAGCATTTGTCCATACCCCAATAACACTAATTTTCTTTGTTACTATTTGAGAAAATTTGAATTTCTCCTCAAATATTGATTGGGACAGAAGTGGTGTATCATTTTAAGGAAAAGTCAAGAAAACAAAATAAAAATTATCTTAAACAATCACCAATAATAATCCTGCGCAAATAGACCCCTTGACGTGTGACGTATGAATGATTTTCAAAACAACATGCGGGCGCACGCAGATGGGCAAAAGATATTATAAACGCACTGTCACACACCTGTTTGCTGTTGCGATCATAGCCTATATGTTCAAGAAATCCCATTTATTTGGTATTAAAGCATTCTGTGAATCAAAAATGGCTCACGAATCACTTTCAGATTATTGTATTGCTCTTTAAACGAAAGATAAACAGCATTATTTGTCGAAGCTTACGCTGAGTAGTGGGGAGAAACTTCCCGATCCTTTGGTATTATCAGACTGGTCTGATGATATTAGAAATCTTCCAAACATTACTTGGAGAGATGTTACTGAATATCTTATAGATTCACCAAGTGTTTTTACCAAAGAATCAATGAAAGCCTACAAATCACTGGAAGCCTATGATTATTTTGTGTGTGGCCATGTACAAGACTGCTTTTATAATGGACTATCTGAAGAGACAGTTTTGTTTTATCAAATCTGAGGTAATTATTCACATTTTTATGATCAAGTTTACAATTCTAGATTGCCATATTATGTATGCACTATTTTTTATGGAAGAAACTTTATTTACTTTTACTAAAGATGGATTATTTTAAACCTTAGGTCCTGCCAAGTCAAAGACAAGGAGTGAAGGCAAAAATGTATGAAGTGTGGGTATGTCTGCACAAAAACCAAGGATGGGTACTGACCGGAAACTAAATATAAATACCTGTTACAAAATGTTCAGCACAAATTTTAGCTTTTGAAATACTGTCCTCTGACCACGTTTTCCAATCTTCTCTGCGAATGGCCTTGATCCATGCTTTGCGTCTTCTTTTCTCTATCAGCGTTTTCCCCTTCGGAATATTGTAAAACGGCAAATCTTTCTTATCTCCAATCGTTCTATTGGCACAGCCAACGGCACAACAACTCTTAGGCATAATTATAATGTCGAAAAATCATAAACAGTTTATTTTACTTTCTTTCTTGCTCTGCAAACATGTGAACTTTGCCTATCAACCAACACAACAAAACACAAACACACAGTTTTTGCCCATCTGCATGCGCGCGCATCCTAGGCCGCAAAAAGAAAAGTAAACATTGGGAAGGGGTCTATAGATTACATAAGATCCAATTAATACCCATTCTACAATATAACCTCTAATGAAACAAGTCGTCGATTTAATCTCTACACTGGATTTTAGAAATTGGAAATACCAAGTCAGCAGGTTTATGTACTGTCCCCTTCAGATTTTAGTAAGTGTTGTTACATACAGATGGCTCCATGTGTGCTCAGCAGCAAGGAGTCTATCAGTTGGCCCTCGTGATTTCCCTCTTCCTTGAATTGGTGGTAAAATGCGTTTTTTCTTTCCAACACTATTAATATTGATATTATCAACCTTCTTATTAATATTATGAATATTAAATTATTAAAATATTAATAACTTCAAAGACAATAAAATAATGGAAACGAAGCTTTCAAAAAATAAAGAAAAAGGGTAAACAGATGAGACCGGCACAACTAATAGAGGACTCCTTGGTGACTCAGCACTTGTAGAGCCATCTATGTGTAAAAGGCCATAAATAAAATTTTATTACAGTGGCCATGGCATTGTCGTCTTGCCACATTCTTTTAAACTGTAAAAGCTAACATCTAAAAATTTTTTCTTGAAATTTGAATTCATAGGCCAATACAATAATAATAAAAAAAAAAAAAAAAGGAAGACAAAGAATCCTCCTAGTACTCATCGCAGTGTAGAGCATCTGACGAACATGCAGGAGTGCCCAATGACGAGTCTGTCTGAAACACTGCCTGCCATGCATAGGATTCTTTGTTTTCCTGGGGTAGGAGTGGGGGGTCTCACGAGGGGGGAGAGGGGGGGAGGACAGCCTCATGCATTCAGCAATATGGCGAGATCTTCATTACGTTACTATATTACTGTAAGTTAACCCCGCCACCCCCTGGTCCCTTCCGCGCCCTCCCTGCCCTCTGTGGGGTCTCGGGCTCCGCGACTCGCCCTTCTGGGCCTAAACCGTCGCGATCGGGTTTGCGAAGGTCTTGAGAATTATCACCTATCTGCCTATAAAGCGAGTCACACGGAAGATTCACCCATCTGGTTAACTCAAGACCCAAAATACAAGAATGAAGATAAAGAAACATCGCGAGACGAGGAAACGTGTCTTGTGATACTCACGTCGTCCATATCAGAATTCTGCTTCTTGGGAGCCTTAAGAGGCTTTTTCTTTCCTCCTGGAACACAGAAACACATAATTACAACATGGTAGAATACTTCGCCTCATACACCAAGCTATTCCAGAGAGGAAAAGGACACGAAAAAGCTTAAAATAGGGTTACCTTCTCGTCCCGACATCGAGCTGTTCGTCCTGGCTTCCGACTCGACGCAGTGTTGCCAACGGAAGCCACGACGCTTTCGCTACATTCAGAGGATTTTTTTTTTTTTTTTGCTAGATATGTGCTAGATAAGATGCTCTATTAATGATGTTTTCAATAATGATGATAATAGCAATGGTGGTAATAATAATGATAATGGTAGTTAAGATAATAGTGGTGTTGATGAGTTACAATATATTTTATTATTAGATTGGTAATCTTATCGGGCTGTTTATCATTAGAATTGACCTTATGAATGCTGATGTTGCATCATGTGGCAATCATCATAACATAACAAACTAAATTACACACATCGCACGTAAATGAAAATACTTTTGAATATACGAGTAATATAAGGCAAGGTATGCAATAGAATATTACATACCGCGATATTAAACCCTTTTGGTCTTCCATCGTGAAACCATTCACTATCTACATATGATATATAGGAAATCGTGTGAAAATGCCACAGAAAATGTCAGCTGGTCTGAATAATATGAGTTTATTATCCAAAAGCAAAATGAGAATGAATTTACTACATTTTCTACCAAATTGGCATCATTGGGCTGGCGGGGTTGATATGTTAAGGATCACGTAATAGCGTTTTCTGACTAGTAACACATAATCATTGTATTTCTGAGATATATTATTTCGAAAGCTTTCTTACAAGAAGATGTCCTTAATTTTTACTCATCTTTTAGGAATTTCTTTTTTTATTTTTACATACTGTATATCTTACATGTATACTATGTAAACCTGTCATAAACCAACCATGCTACATTTGGGATATACATATCTGCTTGTAATTTAATATCTCATGAATTTTAGTTTTATTGTCGTCTTCGTTCTTTTATCATACCACTGGATATAGAGTATACAATAAAGAAGAAGAAGAGAGAAATAAGACCATTCTGAATATCTTTTTATAAACTATCCTGACAGTCTGTCGGTTACTCATCAGGGATTACATATATAAAGGCACATGTCACCGGTATTCATAGATTGCAATGATTATCTTGTGATTTTTCAAACTAAAATTTCATGAAAACTACCAAAAGGACAGATTCTATTTATATGTGAAATCATACCAACTTTAGAGGCGTATGAGATAGTCAGATCTATAGTTAACTATTTCAAGTGGTATGGTTCCGTTTATAAGGCACAGCCGTGGGCAATCAATACCTCACATTTATATACCAGGTGGATGATACCTTTACTGGGGAAAACTTCAAGAGTAAGATCCAAGGGCGTGTCCAGTCTCCGCGGAATGTGCTGACGAGCCACTCCAGCTGCAGTCACATTACTATGAGTGCAGCGACATAGCAAGATAGTTGTGCGTTATCCCCTATTTATCTTAGGGTTTAATGAAAATATATAAATTACAATATATATATATATATATATATATATATATATATATATATATATATATATAAACACACACACTGTATATATATATATATATATATATATATATATATATATATATATATATATATATATATATATAAATATATATATATATATATATATATATATATATATATATATATATATATATATATATATATATATATATATATATATATATATATATATATATATATATATATATATATGTATATATATATATATATATATATATATATATATATATATATATATATATATATGTATATATATATATATATATATATATATATATATATATATATATATATACATATACATATATGTACTGTATACAAAACACACACACACACAAAATATATATATATATATATATATATATATATATATATATATATATATATATATATATATATATATATATATATGTATATGTATTTACATTTTTTAGTGTGTGTGTGTGTGTGTTTTGTATACAGTATGTATATATATATATATATATATATATATATATATATATATATATATATATATATATATATATATATATATATATGATGTTGGGGGAGAGAAAGGAGTGTATTTCTGACGAAGATATAATTCGAATCTGGTCAAATACATCTCTTGTATTGTGAAGATACTCATTCTCACTCATACCTTTTCTATATATATATATATATATATATATATATATATATATATATATATATATATATATATATATATATATATATACATACTGTATCATGTATGTAAAATGGCTAACGACCAGAAAAAAAAGTTTGGGAGCCACTGTTCTAAAAAACAGTCCTGGTGCAGGTCTGCGGGACGACCATGAACATCAGAGCAGTGGCTTGAACTAAACCAACAAACCTATCGGGAAGTAGTTGAGACAAGTTGGGTCCCTGCCTGTCGGTTTGCCTTGAGAATCCCTCGTAAAAGTGTAATCTGTATAAGGTAACAACTACAATCATGTTTCAGTCGTAAACAACCATATTGAATAACTGTTGACAAGAACAGTATGCTTCTTGCACGGTTTATGATTGATACAGCAAGATTTAATTGCTTCTGGACCTAATATTTATATCTAAGCTATAATCTAAAACTTTCATACTGCTTTATTTTCCTAAATTTACCTCATGAGTCCTTCCGGAATTCCTAATTATATATATCATCATCATCCATTAGTTCAGAGTTTCTAGTCTTAATTTACCCCCTAAACCCTTGCTCGTTGTTGTCGTGAGGGGCCTAAGACGGAGACTGAGTCCTAATGTAGGGGATCACCTCTTCGAGCACGGCTCTGACCACTGATATTAGTATCCCGTCAACTCTATCCATTCTGAATCATCCACCCAGGTCATTACTCAACTTTCAGAATACACCCCTTCCTCTCCCCCATCTTCCTATCCATCTCCTAGTGCACAGTATTCTTCATTATCTGCCCCCTGCTCCCTTATCACTACTCTTCAACCTTACTGTCCTTCTCCACACAATGCAACCTCTCCTCATACCACCCCATATCCCCCATCTCTGCAAACCTTTCGATTCTTTATGATTCCCCCTACAGCCCCTTGCTCTGGCAATACTCTTCTCCTCCATCAATGTCTCCAAAAACAAGTAGCTAAAATTTCAGTCGTTCAGCTCGTTCACGCCTTGTCACAGTTACATCTGAATCCCAAGCTCGTGCACCATGTACCCTGACTGACTTTACTGGCAAGCTTATTCCTGCCCAACCTCACTCCTCCCTTAATACTTGTACCGGAACTGTTTTTGTCTCCCCGACTGATTTTCCTGCCTGCGACAAGGACTAGTCAGACTGTGAAAACGACCTGCTCGCATACCTCGTCGAGTGTGATGCAGTTGCAGTACTGTGCTGCACTATTCCTCCGAAGGCCAACGTAAGTCCTGCACCAATGTTGCCAAGATTACCTCCCGTAAACATGGCCTCCCTCATGAAGTTTATACTGGTGGAGTGTCAGAAATGCTGGCGTTTTGGCCACCCAGCCAAACACTGCCGCTCCACAGCCCGCTGCCTTCTGTGAACCCAACCTGGTCACGACCGTTCAAATTGCTCTGCTCAGTCACGCACATGTGCAAATTGTGGCGGCTCCCGTTATGCATTTTATAGGAGCTGCCCTGCCTACAAGTTCGAATCTGAGTTCTCAGATTCAAACTAGACCTTATTCTCCGTGAGACCAGACAAGAAGCAAGTTGACGAGTTTTTTCTACCTATTCCAAAACTGTACTTCACCCCGCTCCTCTCCCATCTTCTCAAGATGTCTCAGCATCTCCCGCTCTACCCCGGACCATCCTATCTCTACTTCATCTCTCCCCCAGTCAAATTCCTTTTCCAGTACAAATCAAGATAATCCAATCTATACTACTTCCCCGATACCTACCCCTTCTTCTCGCTCTACCTGTCGAGCCAGGCAATCTAAACATTCCACCCTATCCTCTCCTACTTCATCCTTTCCGTTTGCTCCGCGGACATCTATTCCCGCTTCTCCTCCTCATAAGAAAACCTTTGTTTCTTAGACCTCCCCACCTACCCCCCTTCCAGAAACTCTTGAAGACATCCAAAACTTCCTAAACATGACCCAAGAGAATGCTCCGTTCTCTCATCCACCCTCCAATACCCCAATTCCCATTCGCTCTACATTCAAAGTATTTGCTGATATCCATCCTCTTCCTCCTCAAGTTTCCCCTACCCCTCATCCTCTCGTCCATGTGCATCACCATTCCCTCTACCTTCCCCATTATCCTTATCACTCCCACCTGGATGCTCATGTAACATTAACAACAATGTCTTTCTCCGGATACCTCCCCTCCTGACATTCTTCCTGATGCTTCACCACCTTCCCATGTTCCCCGATCTTATTATCGGGATTCTCCAATCTATTTCTACTCGTATTACCCGATAATTGGCTATCTTACGGTTTTCCTCACACAGTGTTACTCCCCTCCCTCAGACACATACTCTCCATTTAATCTAATCGCCATATACTCTTTACCCATTCCCTATTACAAATCTCCACCGTGATCCGTTGCTCCCTCAGCTCTATACCCCTTTCGGCGCTCTACAACCTGTAGCAACAAACACATCTTATGCTAATCGTTAACTCATTTCTACACTTTTCGCCAGAGTACTTTACCATAGTGCTGTATGACCTTTGGTGTCTAGCCCATTTATTTCTTCTGATCATTAACCATTAGTCTTAATTTATTTTGAAAATGGTGTAATATCTTTCTTTCATATCCACCAGTTTGGACAAAAACTTCTGATGTCATTAATTAAGTTTTTTGATATATTGAACTTTAAAAGATGTGTTTCACCAACCAAGTACAGTATGGAAACGGGATTACTTAGCCGAAAGGACAACTAAAAGACTACACAGACAAGTAAGACTAACTTGCCCTGTATCAGAAAATAGAATAGAGAATAATGATATGAAAATGTATTTTTCATGTGGGACAGAAAGAGTTATGAAAACTGTGCGAAAGACGTTGATTGAAGAATATTGCAAACACATGTAAACGAGAACTGGTGGTTATTAAAGGAAAATCAGCTTCGGAGTGTTTTGTCTTAATAATGTAACACACATTTACGGTTTTCCTTTCGTGTCGGTGGTACAGAGAAGGTACTAGCTATTTCTCTTACTCTATCTTCAATTTTAACTTAAAACACATAGAAGGTAGGAACTTCTCTTGCTTTATCTTCAAATTTACTTTAATATACATCGTGCAGTGCGTAGTTGCCGTGATTCAATCACAGACCGATTCACTAAATAAATCCCGAGTTTATTTTACCAGGAACTTGTCTGTCATATATAAGAACAAATATTAGATATATTAATTACTTCCATTTTGAGTCTCTTTGTAATGACTTCAGGTAATTAACTTCTCGTGTAAAGTATTTCCCCACTGTAGACTGCCTTTCAAGTATACTATGTATTTGCCTTGAATAGTATTGGGTATAGTCATGATGGTACGAGGTATGGATATAAACACAATTACAGCGTTTATATGTATAGGTTTCGACGAAGTGTCTGTGTTGAAGTTCATTAACCTCTGTTATTTGGTTGCGTCTCCTGACATTTCACTTTCGTCCATCATGTCACTGAAGTGTGTTTCCCGTGCGTTCGGTATCTCTCAACGGGAACATAGTATTATACGTTACATTTATATGCTCCCTTTTCATTCTCGTCTTATGACCTTGTGGTTAATTGGGACATTTTTCAATTCCCAGTACTTTTGAAATGGAATATGCCTTATGTTAATCTTGATTTGCCACTGATTAACGGTTTAGTTTGTTGTTCATCATAGTTTTTTTTTTAAAGACTACGCTTAACCTTTGCCTGTATCCGACCATGGCTAACACCAGACTCTCGCCTTCCTCTCGGTGTCCCTGACTTGGAGAAATATACTATATCATCGGCTGTCTTGCTCATAATGACTTTGCTCTTATTTTCCACTGCCCGAAACTAGACGTCTAAGTTCTC